TAGATAGTTCTAGTCTGCATCGTTAGTCCTGGCGAGAGCTGGGCAGGCAGTCCGCTAACCCCTTTGGTTCGCCTTAGGGGAAAGTGGGGCTGTTACATACAAGATGGAATGTCGAGGACGACATTCTTTTAAGGAGGGGAGTTTGTGACGCCCCGAAAGATACGTGTGAGAACCCGAAACATTTTATATATTTTCGAGACATTATTTTGTTTCCTTGTCTATAATTTTATGCCTTTCTTCAATATATTAATTTCCTATACATTTATTGTAAGGGAATATAGTTTTCCAACCATTTTTCTAGTACAAGTTAGTCCAAGTTCATTTTGAAGTGCGTTTTGAACGTGGGACCCGCTAGTGCGGTAAATGCGATATATTTTTGACAACTTGTTGGAGTTTTGTATTAAGTGATATTATTTTACAAGGTGCTCAGAGATAATTAGAAGTTACCTATATGGATTAGTGTTAGAGAGACAAAGAGATAAGCTTAAGCAAGCAAGGTGACAAGTGTCACTTTGTGATTGGGTTGGACTTTGACCTTTGGACCAACTTTACCAATAAATCAAAAATTGACCAAAATCATCTTCATTCTTCATGCTTCTTGGCTGAACCCATTGAGAGAGAAAAGAGAGAAAACCTTTCATTTGGTCACTTCAATTCTTGTCCAAATCTTGAGTTCCAACTAATTAAATTGCAAACCACTCCATAAAACTTGCTAGCTAAGGAAGATTGAAGCTCTTGGTGGAGTTGTTTTGGAAGAAAAACCCTAAGCCATCACCTTTCTTGATATTTGAAGGTATCATGTCTAGCCATCCTTTCTTTGTTCTGGATTATGTTAAATTAATGACTTGTGATAGCTAAAGAGATGTTTTTGTGGAAGATTAGCACTTGAATGCATGAATTCCAGTTTAGGGTTTCAATTTTTTTCCTATTCTGCCCGGCCCTGTTACGCCTAGTTAGAGGCCGAATTGGCCTTAGCACAAAACATGAAAGTTGTATAGAATGATGTTTTATAGTTTCCTGTAAATTTTCAGCCCAATCTGAGCTCGGTAACCAGTGAAAAGACCGAAATACCCCTGCTGTCCTGTTTCTATCCGAACTTGATAATTGCTTCTGTAATTGGTTAATTGGATTGGGTTACACTGGAAATTTGACAAGAGATCTTCATGAAAGTTGTAGCCAATGGTATAAAATAGTTGCCTACAAAAGTTCAGCTCGATCCTAGCACTGTAGCTTGTGAAATGACCGAAATACCCTTGACTGTCCATGAAACCTGTTTCGCGCCTAGATTTCTGTTTTCGTGTAGTTTTCCATTTTTTACCATGAAAATGCATGATTTGGCCTTGGAGGCCTTCATAATTAATGTATGTTTGTGTTTTGGCTTCGAAACACCATAAGATACACTTCAATCGGATTTCGGTAGCCTGAGTTATTGCTGTTTAACAATTGTGCGGTTAGCCAACCTGTTTGTGAGATTCTGGTTTCTGGAGCTAGCACCAACCTGTTTGTGATGGAGCCGAGACATGAGCCACTGTATCCTTACCTGTGAAAATGATCCATATATTTCTCGACTATCTGAAGTGTTATCTCTCTGATTTGACTTGTTTGCTCGCTATTTCACTATTACACTGTTATTACTTTGTTTGATGGCCAATTTGATATTTTGAACTTCACTGAGCTTTGGCTCACTCCGTTAGTTTTGTTTTCTTTACAGGGGTACGAGCGAGGCGTGAGACGCGTAAAGACTAGCGTATCCTAGTTGTTTTGACTTTTGACTTGTACTCGCGCTATTACTCGAATAGAATGTTTTGTATCTGGATTATATACACTTTGAACCAGTTTGGGTATATTGAGGCTTTGTATCTTGATTGTGCATCAGTGTAAATTATAAGCTTGAATTATGGATGTTATTTATGGTCCATAGATGTATGCCCGTGATACGAGTGAGTGAGTCCTGGCGAGAGCTGGGCAGGCGGTCCGCCGAACCCTTTAGTACGCCTTAGGGGAAGGTGGGGTCGTCACAGATTTTCCGGTTGTTTCCATTTAGAGACTATTTCAACTTTGGCTGGATCCACTTTAATCCCGTCCTTAGAAATTATATGACCGAAGAATGTCAATTCTTTCAACCAAAATTCACACTTGCTAAACTTGACATATAACTGATGTTCCCTTAAAGTTTGTGAAACAATCCTCAAATATTTCTCATAATCCTCCAATGTCTTAGAGTACACCAGTATATCATCGATGAACACCCCTACAAACTAATCCAGATGAGGTTTAAAGACTCGATGCATTAAATCCATAAAATCTACGGGTGCATTGGTCAATCCAAATGGCATTACTGCGAACTCGAAATGTCCATACCTCGAGTTAAAAGCAGTTTTGGGTATATTCTTTTCCAAAATCCTTAACTGATAGTAACCCTGTCTCAGATCTAACTTCGAGAATACTACCGCCCCTTGCAATTGGTCAAACAATTCATCAATGTGGGGCAAAGGGTACTTATTCATAATGGTAATATCGTTCAAGTCTCGGTAATCTATACACAGCCTTAAACTCCCATTCTTCTTCTTAACAAACAAGACCAAAGCTCCCCACGGTGAATCACTCTCCTTTATAAAACCTTGCTCCAGTAAATCCTGCAACTATAATTTGAACTCTTTCAATTCAGCTGGAGCCACCCTATACGATGTGATAGCCCCACCTCTCCCTAGGGCGAACCCTAGGGTATCAGCGGACTGCCTGCCCAACTCTTGTCGGGGCTCGGTCAATCAAAGAACTAGCAACTCAAAATAACTGGTGAAATAACTTCAATATAAAGCATACAAACCCTAATGGCACATAAACGTCAAGCCAACTTTCCAACTTAAAATGGCAAGCTAAAAGTCACACTTAACACTCCATACTACAATTACATAACATAAGTTGAACTTATGAATTCAAACTTACAAAAATCAAAAGTAAAGTCATCTTAACAAAAGGTTACAAGTTCAAACAAAATAAAGCTAAGAAAGCTCTCAAACTATAGTCCATCCCCGATCTGTTAAGGAAAACAAAGGGAGTGGGGTGAGCTAGATCTCAGTGAGGTTCCAAGTAAAACAAGTAAACACATAGCCAAATAAGGGCATAAAATAACCAAGTAAACACCGTATAGTACAACAACACTTTTAATCACAGTTCAATTCAAGAATACGGGTGGCTTTCAAAAGCCAGAAACCACTTGAGCTTGATCATAACCACATCCATTGACTCCGTCAACATTTGTCTTCACAGAATATAAAGTCCGTAGAACACCACTTTCACCAATCTCCGTCCACCAGTCAACCCCCTACCAGCCCCGAACACCAAATAGGAACGGAATGGTAATACTCGAGTATATCGAAATTTTAGGATATAACTGAGCCCCAAGTTAGGAATTTCGTCCCTGGCAGTGCTGGACAACACAACAGGCTAGCACAGTGGCTATGCCTCACCAGAGGGCCTCAATTCATGATTTCGTCCCTAGCGGTGCTGGACAACACAACAGGCTAGCACAGCGGCTATGCCTTATCAGAGGGCCTCAATTAAGGATTTCGTCCCTGGCAGTGCTGGACAATACAACAGGCTAGCACAGCGGCTATGCCTCATCAGAGGACCTCAATTCACATGCACATAAACATGCAAGTCTGCATACAGGATCAACTAATTCAAGTTCGTACAGTAAACCAGTTACACAGGCCAAAGAACGAGTGTGATAAAGTACACCCTCGTCTCGTACAGAATAAACAAGTGTCACAGGTAAACAAGTCACGAATTGCAAATACAGATAAACCAGGTTAAGCACAAATCATGGGAGTGGAACATTCACCTATCAAGCAATGCAGTAGTCAAACCGTCAAGTATCTCGGTTACGACCACCTTCGTTTCCCAATCCTAGTGCAACGAGTGAAATTGTTAACGTTCTAGCTTCATTTCCCACTCAATTGTAAACTCATTAAGTGACCAAGTGAGTGGTTAAAATCACTCAATTCATCATGCAAATTAGGCCCAAAATGCAGTAAAAGTTCATGAGAAAATAAGTTTGACAAGTGCAAGAAAGTCGGGCAAAATAAAAGTTTCATTCAAGCTCAAAATGTTCTTCGCGGGTAAAACAGTCGTGTCCGTGCAGTCTTGGGAAAACGGTCATATCTCACTGTAGGAAGGTCAAAATTTGGTGCCGTCAGCGGCGTTTGAAACTAGACTCGAAGGCTTTCCAACGGGACCAAACACACACATTGGTTCGTCTCCTTTTAGTACCAGTAGCTCGGACATGTGAGAACCCGTAATTTTTTTTCCATTTTTAGGTTTTTTTTCCATTTCTGCATTTTCTTTATTAGAAAAATTTTCTAGATAATTTTTATACGTAAATATAGTTTTAGATGATTTTTCTAGTATCGAATAGTTTTTGAGAAATTAAGAGCGTATACCGGACGTGGGACCCACTAGTGCGAAAAGTTCGGAAAAATTCGGCCAACTAGGTTAAGTTTTGAATATTGGAATTAATTTACCGGGTGTTAAGAGATAATTAGAGGGTGCTATTTGGATTTGTGTGAGAGGAAACAAAAAGATAGAGATGCATTAATGATTTGGATTTGTCTGGAAAACTATCTTCAAATGTTGCCCCAACGAACAATTGGGCCAAACTAGCTTCAATTTCGTCAACTGGGCTAATTTCTGACATGATCACCTCGGCTGGTTGTGGGAAAGTATAATGCAGGGGTGGAATGTCAAGAGCCCTTTGCCTTCCTTCTTTCTCCACTTTCTTACGTTCCTTCATTTCTCTGATATCCTTAGCGGTCGGTCGGAACCCTAAACCAAACGAATCCTTTTTCTCAACAATCTCCACTGGCTTCAAAATTCCTTGCAAATCTCGTCCCAGCCCTTTGTCAAATTCATAGCCTCCACGGATCATTTCTTTAGCCATCATGACACTGGCCTTTGATAGAGCTCGCTCCTCGTTTGTGATCCAACTTACAGAGATGATATCAGCCGTGATAGAGCTCGTTCCTCATGGTGACGTTTCGGCTTCCATCCTCTTTTGACCCAGAATCGGTGATTACAAGGCAATCCTCCTCGGCAAATATAGTTATCAGCTTGTCATTTACTACAAACTTCAGCAATTGATGTAATGAAGAAGGCACAGCCCCAGACTTGTGAATCCACGGCCTGCCAAGCAGAACATTGTAAACACTAGGAAAGTGCATGACTTGGCAGGTTATTTGAAACTGGGCAGGCCCCATCTCGACGACTAAATCCACTTCTCCTATTGGCTCTCTTTGTGCTCCATCAAAACCTCGGACTACGGTCCCTGAAGGCCTCAGCTTTATGTCTTGCAACCCTAGCTTTTCCAAGGTACTCCAAGGACAGATATTAAGCGCAGATCCATTATCAATCAAAACCTTCGGCAACATTTTTCCATTACACCTTACAACTATGTACAGGGCCTTGTTATGTCCAATGCCTTCCGCTGGCAATTCATCGTCAGAGAAAGTAATTTGTTTAGTAAACAACACACTCCCAACCACGTGTGAGAAATTATCAACAGAAATATCCTTAGGGATTTGAGCTTTAGTCAATACTTCGATCAGCGCGTCCCTATGCATATCTGATGAAAAGAGCAGGTCCAGCATGGATATCTGAGCAGGTGACTTGCTTAGCTTTTCGACTACATTGTATTCGCTTCTCTGGAGCCTTTTAAGAAAATCCAAGGCTTCTTTCTCGATGATTGTTGGTTTAGCAGGCGGCTCGGAGCTATTTGCTTGAATCGGAATGGTAGTTTCAAACGGACTGGCAGTCTTCCCCGATCTGGTAACCACTGACACCTCCTTCTTTACAATTGACTTCTCCCCAATCTGTATGGCAGGTTCATCGTAATTCCATGGCACTTGTTGCAGACTTAAAACAGGTTCTTGCTTCGGGAATTCGATGACTACTGGCTCTAAAGACTCACTCTCGGCTAGCGTGAGATCCAAAATAAAAGGCTTTTTATCCTCTTCAAATGGCAGCTCTATGACAAATGGTTGGTCTGTGACCCCAAACACTTCAGCTTCCCTTACCATCTTTTTGACTTGTTCCACGTACTCTGCATCATATAGAATGACCCCAATGGTATTAGCATGTTCCGGCAAGGGGTTCCTATTTACATTCGGCCCTTGTGCCTCCCTTTTTTGGATTACAATCTCTCCAGATTCAACCATATCTTGAATTCTATGCTTAAGAGCCTTGCAATCAATAGTCGAATGTCCGGCGGCCCCTGAATGATAGGCACAGACGGCTTGCGGGTTATACCAAGCGGGCATGCCATATGGATAGGTAGGAGGGGGTACCGTACCAATTTTCCCGGCGGCCTTTAACTGATCATACAATTGGTCTAAAGGCCTGCCTAAATTGGTAAATGTACGGCTAGGGGGTCGGTTGTAAGGTTCAGGAGGTTGAGGATGATTGTAAACAGGTCTATTTGGTGGAGGAAATCTTGGGTTATATGGAGGGCGAGGTCGACTTTGGGGTGGATTTGGTTGAGAAATTTGAAAATGAGCTGAAGGTGGGTTAGGATAGCCTGGGCGAGGTCGAAGGTGATGGATGTTGGTAGTATATACAGGATGCGGGTTTGAATAATAAGAGTAAGGTGGTTGGTAGGTTGGATTGTGTTGATATCGGGGTCTGGGTGAAGGGTTCTGGTTCCAAATAAAAGTTGCATCCCCCTCTTTCTTTTTGAACGGCGGCTTCTTTCCACTACTCCCTTGCCCTTGCAAAGCTTCCAATTGCGATTTCAAGGCAGAGACGTTGACAATTTTTCCGGCTCTCACAAAGTCATCAAACTCCTCGAGTTTATTTACAATTGCAGCAAACGAACACCCGGTCATACGGAAAATTTCTTCGAAGTATGGAGGATCATGCGCCTTTATGAATGTGCGAATAATTTCATCCTCAGTCATCGGTGGCTCCACTTTCGCAGCTATCTTTCTCCATCTTTTGGCATATGTCTTATGATCTTCAGATGGTCGCCTCTTCATTCCTTCCAAAGTAGTCCGGGTTGGTGCTAGCTCGCAGTTATACTCATATTGTCTGATGAAAGCGTTGGACAGATCGAGCCAGGTCTTCACCTCCTCTGGCTTTAAATTTGAGTACCAATCGAGGGCGTCCCCTTCCAGACTCTCCGGAAACAACCTCAATGGTAGTGCACGAGGTAAGGTAGGATCCGATCATTTTCAAGAGCGATCTTTGGAATATGAGCGTCTAATAATCACCTTTTGGCCATTTTATCAAAATTGGTAAAAATCCCTTGCTTAAAGGACATTAAAGGACCCTAGGGTTCGCTCTCGGGAGAAGTGGGGCCATCACATCACCCACGTGACTTTTGTTTTCCTTACAGGAACCACTTTTGGAATCATGTTTTGAGAAACGAGTTGAGCTCGTTAAGCATTCTTTTGTTCGTATAGCTCCTCGATTATGAGAATCCCTAAATGAATTTGGACTCCATTATCCCTTTTGAGTTGTAAACCTTGGAAGTCAAGGATGTATGAAAGTGTTTCCTCTGTGAGAACCCGTAAAACCCTAAATATTTTTCCTATGATTTATTTCCCCTTAATTGCTTGTTTTCTGCATTTTCGGGCTTAGGAATATTTTTCTGGTTGATTTATGCGTAATTATAGTTTTTAGATGATTTTTCTAGTATTGGCGAGTTTTTGAAAAATTAAGAATATATATTGGACGTGGGACCCACTAGTGCGAAAAGTTCGGAAAAATTCGGCCAATTAGGTTAAATTCCGGATACTGTGTAAAATTTATCGGGTGTTAAGAGATAAGTAGAGTGTGTGAAATGATTGATGTGAGAGAGAAAAAGAAGTGATAAGATTGCATTAATGAGGTGACAAGTGTCACCCTCTTATTGGTTTTACTTTAAGACTTACTATTCACTATTTTGACTTTTGACCAAATTGAGTAAATATCTTGAAAAATTTCTCAAAAATCACCATTTTCTTCTCCTCCATGGCCGGTTCTTCCTTGAGCCAAGAAGAAAGAAATTCTTCAACTTTCTAGCTTCCATTTCACTCAATCTTCCAAAACCAAACACATAAATTAGATTCTACTCCATAAAATCTATCCATTGGGTGCTAGTGAGTGGTCTAGTGAATTTTGTTTGAAGAGCTAAGGTGTCCAACATCTCCATCTCTCTTGTTTACTTGGTAAGTGGTGTGTGACTTCCCTCTTATACTTAATAAAGCTTAAATTATGCTTAGTAGTGGCTAAAGTGATGGATTATGTGATTTATTTCTTGATTTGAAGAGTTTTGGTGAAGTTTTCAATTTTATGATGAATTTTCTGGTTTAATATGAATGGGATGTTGTGGCCATCTATGATGGTTGATGATAAGGGGTAATGACTCATGTGGGTGTGAATTGGTGATAATAGCAACTAATTTTGGGTTTGGAGTGAATTGTGAAATGTTAGGGTTTTTCAACCCCTAATTCTGTCCGGTTTTGGATCATAGGGTTAGAGGCCGAATTGGACTTTGCTCAAAACATCAAAGTTGTAGGTATTGATGAGTTTGAAGTGCCTGCAAAATTTCAGGTCATTTGGATTAGTGTAGAGTGCGATATGCCGATTTTACTGTTGCTGTTCTGGGTTGATCAGAATGCGAAAACTGCACTTGTAATTGGCCATTTTGACTGGAATTGCTTTGGATTTAGGTGTTGGTGTCTTCTGATGAAATGTAGCTGGATGTCTTAGCTACCATATGCCTTTGGAATTTCGGCATTTGGACCTGTATAGACTGAGTTATAGTAATTACAGCATTATGTAATTTGTAAACCTGTTTTTGGTGTTTCCGGTTGAGTATTTGGCACATTTGACCTAGTTGTGCTAGGATTTGGACTGAGGGACCTTCTACATTGTTGTAGCCCTGTTCCATAGCTTCGAAACGGTGGGACTTACACCCCCATCCGATAATCGTAGTGAAATTGACGCCATTACCGCATAATAGGCCAAAACAGTTTTTCTATTCGGGGCCAAGACTAATGCTATTTCTAATTTCTGGTTTGCTATCATGCTTATTTATGCATATGAAACCCTATTGGGGTTGTATTCAGCATTGTTTTGTGACTCGTTATCGAGTCTCATTGTATTTGTTTGCTTGTTCTAAGAGGAAACGGTGGTGCACGACGTTCGTTTAACGACGGTGCATGAAACATCATTTTCTCACTTGGTGAGTATACTACTCACTTAATTGTTATTATGTGGCTTTGCTAAAGGTATATGTGATGCCTTGAAGGCTTACTTGGATATTGGAATTGATTAAGGTGAGGGTGTACTTGACCGCCCTCACCCCTTTTGATAGTATCACTGATTAGCTACCGTTTTACTGCATTACTGAACTTGATATATTGGTTGGTGAATTCCATTTCATGGAAACTGCTTTGGTGTCGTTTGGACGAATGTCCAACGGCCTTACTGTATTACTGAGCTCAACCCCGTTTGGTAGTCAATTGGATCGAGCCGGCGAGGGCTTGGTCGTGAAAATTGTCATGCCACGGGGACTGTACTGAGGAACCTTGTAGTAATGAGACTCTTGGTTCCGGTATACTCGAGTATTACCAAAAGCTACTGAATTGGAGTGCGGGCCCTGTTGGGGAATGTTGGGTGGAAGGAATGGAAGTAAAGAGTTGTCTACGGTTGGTTATTTTTTTTAAACATTGACGGAGGGTCAATGAGGTTGGATCAAGAATATAAGCGAGGAAATGGGCTCTTGAGAGCCGTCCGTATCCTTTCACTGATTTGATTTACTTCTTATTTGCATACTTGAACTGAACGGTTATGTTTATGTGCTCTTAGCTGCTATGGTGGTTGTATTCTCACTGGGCATATAGCTCACCCCGTTTCTTTTGTTTTCCTTACAGGAATATGACTATTTTGGAATGAATTTTGTTAAATGGTTGCCGAATGAACTAGATGAATGCCTCTTTTGTATTGTATATAAAATGGGACCCTAAATGTATCATTAGGGCCGTTTTCACTTTTGTTTTGGCAACCCACATATGTAGTGACTTTTGTATCACTTTTAATGGCCATTGTGGCTTGTAAATGGTTAATGTTATGTTGTATATGTATTTCGATGTTTGGTTGGGTTTCGGACGGGTCGGTTACTATTCATGGCCGACTCTGGATTTTATTTCTTTTATTTTGGGTTATTTTGCCCTTTTGCCTTGTTTGCGCGCATTATAAGTTTCAGAACGTGATAGATCGCTTTATACTGCACCGTTAGTCCTGGCGAGAGCTGGGCAGGCAGTCCGCTAACCTCTTTGGTTCGCCTTAGGGGAAGGTGGGGCTGTCACAGGTGGTATCAGAGCCTAGGTTTGAATTACCCTGGGTGTTAAAGGAATGCTGGACTTGAGGATTCTATTGTTTATGCCTATTAAGTGTATTCATTTTATTTCTCCTTTGCTATAGGATGGATGCGAGTGGTGACCCTAGTGCTAGTCCTTCGGGAGTGAGACCTCCCAGAGCACTCCCCGTGATTCCATATCAGATCAGGCAGAAGGGGGCCGTGGTGCGTTGGAGCCCGGCCAACCGCCTTCGACGGTGTGCGTGCCGTGATACTTATGCTTACCCGAACACCTTAGTTTTGGCGGTAGCGAAGGAGCGTAAGGAGCTTGCTAAGGATAACACTAAGTTGGAAGCTGTGGTTGCTACGTTGGAAGCTGAGGTGACTCAGGTTAGGGCAACCAACAAGAAGCAGGCGGCACGTATCATGGAGCTAGAGTATGACGTGCATGAGGCCGAGGACAGAGTTGATGACCTCTGTGACCAACTGAGGGATGCACGCGAGCGCGAGGTTAAGCGAGCTCGCAAAGTCAGGGGTCGTACTGAGGCGATCCTTAATCTGTGCGACGACGGGCTCGAGGAGTCTAGCGATGAGGCCTCGTATGCGGGGGCCGAGGCCGGGGAGGAGTCTACCCCATCGCCTGGGTCCCAGACCCCAGCGACTGACTAGGCCTTGATCTTTAGGCATCTTTTGGATAGTGGTGGTTTTTGTATGTACATAGGGATAGGGATAGAGCCTTAGCTAACCGTTTTGGATGTAGGGTTAGCTACGTGTAAATTTCTTTTGATAGGCCTATCCTCGGGAGGATCGTTTATGTACGTACGTGCCTTGGCCGTACTTGACTGACTGATTGTATATATGTGTTTGGCTTGTATATATGTGTGTTTGTGATTATGCTTGGACTGTATACCTATGTGTTTTTGTGCAAAGTTTAAGTGTTACTTATCTGTCTTGTTACTACTTTGGTTTAGTATTCTT